ACAACGAAAAATCAGTTGTGTATGGAACTAAGAAGCAGCTGAAATTAAATTAGATTCATACCTCTAATATTTCAATTATAACTAAATCAAATTTATTAAATGAGAAAAACAATAATCAAAATAAAAATAAATAATGGATTGAATATTGATTGAAACCAAAATATCAATTGAAACAAATCTAATTTAAATGAAATTTTTACGCTTTAGAGAATCAATTATGTTATGAATACAATGACTAAGAAGTACTTAAGTGATTTTTTTTGTTATTTTGGAAGTTACACTCTTTAAGCATTGAATAAGCAGCGTGAGAAATGTTTGTAATCACTTGCCAATATGATGTAAATATTAAATTCGTCCTTCACTTTGAACTAGACCCTTCAGAGCTGAAATTTATTACAAGAAAAGAAAATACACGGCAATAAGATGGCACCATAGATCCTATAGCTCCTGCAGCAGAACCTTTTTCTTTCTAGTTTTAAAATGTGGAAAGATACTCATTTGAAATAATTTAATAATAATATGACTAAAATATTCATCTTGAACAAAAGCAGCATTAAAAATCCGAAAAGCATGCCTAATATGTAAAATACTTAGATAATCTTAATCTCAGTTTAGAATTAATGTGAATTTTTAGGATAAATTACGAAATTGCGTATCAAATAGATTATTGATTTTAGACTAAAAATAAAATCTTTTACAAAGTTTCAATAAACTTAGTAATATTTTTTGAAACATATAAATTCTCTGGTTATGATCTCATCACTATAAAAGGACTTGCCATAATAATAATGCACGCACTTTTTAGTAAGTAAAATTAGTTAGTAGAAAAGAAATGAATTCTTTAAATGCTAATTAAATATAAGTAAATACATTTAAGAAAAGGTTATTCTGTTTTCATTAATTATGTTAAGTCAAATTAATTAAAGTATTAAATTTAACTCTTTATTTCTCTGTCTAATCTCTGTTTTGAATAAAATTTGAGAAAAATAGAAAGACTGAAGTGTTACTGAAGTTTTTATAATTCAATCAATCATATAATTATACTTAATGTAATAAATTTTTTAATTATTGAGATTAATTGCTTATACCGAAACAATACACTTTCCTATATATAAGAGAATTTCGAAAAGATAAATGAGAATAATATCAAAAGAATTTATTTTGTCACTGGCAATTAAATTATTATGAGTAAGTTCTAATTTAGATTTCGATTTAACCTAAAAGGAGTAGATTCACCCTCAAAGTTTGTAAAAGTGCTCTGTTGCCCTTTCAATGCATCTTCCCTTAGGAACCTTGTTTGTTAAGGAAAGTATGGAAAATTATTTCCAGCTCCTTCCTCTCTTATTGGGTTCTTGTAACCACTTAAAATCGCTAAGTACCTGAATTTTGGTGATTTAATAGTGGAATTATTAACTTTATATTAAGATGAAATATTTACCATTTAGATTATTGCTGTTAATGGTATTATGTGAACTAAAATATCTGAAAAAACAGGATGAAGCTGATCAAATATTTAAAGTTTAGTTTTAAGATTTAAATAAATTACGATTAGATTAATTTAAGAAAATTATTTATCTTAATTTATAAGCTTAATTTAGGGGTAAGAGTGAAAAAATCGATACTCCCAAACCAACCACTTCCCATTATTTCAATAAATATACTCAGGATATCCAAAATTTAGGAAATTTTGTCAATTCCTAAGGTCTGGTCTTCTCTTGTATA